GTTAGCAATCCAGTGCTTATCCTACAGTGTCACACCAGGATTCCAAGAAGGAGCTGTTAAAGATATTAAAGCCAAACCAAGAAATGATGGAAATAGAGAAGAAGGAAGACTTGAAAGATGTAGAGCTGGTATAAGTTGGCAACTAAATGAATAAGGTCGGGATAGAGAAGGAACAAAGAGACCCTGAGTCATTCAGGTTTTAGGATTGGACACCTGGGTGAAAGGTAGCCAGCCACATTCCATGAAAACACAGGAGTAGGGAGAATAAATGAGTTTGGTTTAGAGGATACTCAGTTTGAATGTTTTTAGGATAATTAACAGTATAGGAGTTTGTCCTTACTTTGAACTCAATGGGGAAAGACTAATTTCAGTTAATAGAAATCTATAATTTATAGACAATATATGAGTATTTCTTAAGTGGGACTTGTTGTTAACTACTGTCGAGTCGGTTTCAACTCATAGCGACCCTGTATGGGGTATCTTAGGAGCAACAGGTGGATGGATACGTTTTATACCCCACAGAAACATTTTTAATTATTCTGCTTTCCTGACACTTGCTGGTTTGGAACAAACATCAATGTGTTTATTATGAATGAATCATTGCAAGATAGTTAGCAAATGTTGTTGTTGTTTTCAAGTGCCTTAGAGTCAGTTCCGACCCATAGCGACCCTGTGTAGGTTTCTGAGGAGCAGCTGGTAAGCTTGAACTGCCGACCTTGCAGTTCACATGGCTTTGCAGTCTGGCACATTAACCCACAGCGCCACACCAGGACTCCAGCTACCAAATGAGAAAGGTTTATGTTGCTATCAGAGGCTAAAAAATGCTGGGACTTGGTGATACTCATTGTTGTGACTTTCTCTGTTAATAATCTGCCTAAATTCAGTTGTCTTGTGCTTACTAACAGTTACCATGTGGTCTTTTAGTGATGATAATTTATGGTAATGAAATAAAAGACAGAATAACCTTGGTGGTATGTTGTTGTTGTTAAGTGCCTTTGAGTTGATTCCAGCCCATAGTGACCCTGTATAGGGTTTCCAAGGAGCAACTGGTGAGCTTGAACCACCAGCCTTGCAGTTCAAATGACTTTGCAGTCTGATGCATTAGCCCACAGCGCCAGTGGGTTACATACATACTGAGCTGCTAACTGCAAGGTTAGTAATTTGAATCCTCCTTGGAAAAAAGATGAGAATTTCTACTCCCATCAAGATTGACAACCTTGAAAACCTTATACAGGGTCACTATGAGTCAAAACTAACTTGAATGCACACAACAATATACCATTTTGATGTTAAATGCCATCCAGTCAGTTCCAAACCATAGCAACCCAGTATCGGGTTTCTGAGGAGTGGCTGGTAGGTTTGAATCCCTGACCTTGCATTTAGTGATGCTTATCCTACAGCGTCACACCAGGACTCTAACAATATACCAGGGATCAGGAAATTTTACTTCTGGGCTTGGCACAGTGATTTTAATTTGGTTATATCGCTTGAATACACTGTATCTCAGCTTCTCTGTCTGTTAAACTGAGCTCATAATAACTGTCCTGTTCTATCTCAGAGGAATGTTGCATGGACAAATTGGATAAATGGAAGAGTGCCTTGGAGGTATAGCCACTCTATGAATAACTGTTAGTGTGTTGTAGCTACTGAAAAAATCGGTTTCAGAGACTAGAATGGTCAGCATCCATAGACATCATAACTAGATAAGGCTTCATAATGGATTCCTTTCCTGCAAACCAAACACATCTTATTAGTTCATGACTGTGTAGTATTAAATGGGAAAGGTCTCTTTACAAACATTTGTTGCCTTGACACCAGTATACAGTAAAGATTGGTCATGTCTGAATTAAATAAAACCTCCTTCCAAGTAGCTTCAAACAATCCATAATGTCTAGTTTACAGCTTCTGTAGTCAATTTGAGGAGGATGAGAGTTTGATATGTTTAGTAGAATTGAGAAATAAGGGGACTTCAAAAAAATAAGTGGAAAGATTCCATTATATTTTAATTCAAATTTTTCATTGATTTTTTTTGACACCCCCTTATATATGAAACTGTGTTTAGGGAAGATAAATTGACTAGAATATTTTCTTAGGTAATAGTCATCACTGTTTGAAGACTGACTTCACCAAATAGATTTTTCTTTTGTTTATTTTATAGAACTTTCCAGTTCTAATCCTTGACTAAGTGGTATATATATTTCTAGTTGCTTTGGTTTTCTCACAGTCTTTTTGTCACCGTTCACATTCTCATTCTCAATACTGTCATGTAGACAGATTCATTCCTTACAGCTCAATAAAGCATTTGGTAGTAACCATATCCTCTAAAGAAAGAAAAAGAGGTGGGGAAAAAATGACCTTTCTTGAAGGAATTCTTTAGTGTTTGTAAATGTACAACATCCTTGTGTTCAGTCCTTGGGAAGGAGAATTGAGCAAGTACTTAATTGATTAGAAGCTACACAAAAGAGGTCTTATCCAGGCTAACTTTAGAAACTTTTATCCCTGAGCCAAATTTATTTCCTTTTTTCTGACAGGGGACCATTCCTAGTGGCACTGGGGAAATCTTGGCACCCAGAAGAATTTAATTGTGCTCATTGCAAAAATACCATGGCCTACATTGGTTTTGTAGAAGAAAAGGGATCACTCTATTGTGAGCTGTGTTACGAGAAATTCTTTGCTCCTGAATGTGGTCGGTGCCAAAGGAAGATCCTTGGAGTAAGTACTGAAAAGCTTTTTATTTTGAATGAATTTTCAAACAGCGTAACTCTTTGTTATAACACTATTGTATCATCTGTTCTCTTTTTTTTTTTTAATGCTCTTTTCCCTCAAATGCTTTTGTCACAATTTTTGTTATGAAACAAAGCTAAATGAACTCATAGAAGTGTATGACACTCATGGACATAGGATGTCATTGGTTTTATCCTATGTGTGCTGGCTTGTCTGGTGAAAGTCTGGAACTGTAGGGAAAAATCATTCACTGTGGGTGTGCTACTTCAACAGGACCCTGTTTGCTCAGTAATGAAGAGTTCACACAGGACCACACACATCAGACTTCTCACAACTGACGCCTTGACTGCTTTAAATTAAATTCCATAGCGTTTTAATAGCATTTCCCCACTTGTCAGAGTTCAACTGTAGGACACAGATCTCATGAAATATATGAGACTTATAAATGATGTATTTTCCTTGAGTATATATGTATTAAACATATATACATGTTCAAGAATATAGCCTGTTTTATGAGAGTGCACATATGGTAGAAAAATAATTTCAAAACAATACTTTTTTTTTTTTTTTTCAGAAAGACTGTAATTTAGGAATCGCAATAAGTAATTATAAATGAATAGATTTCCTGCTCTGGAATACCCAGTTTGTTGTTGTTAAGTGTCATAAAGTTGGTTCTGACTCATAGTGATCCTGTGTAGGGTTTCCGAGCTAGTAATTATAAAGAAAGGAGCAGTCTCCCCCTATGGGTGTAGGAGCTGGAATTTGATTTTAGAACAGGAATTTGATTTTAGGCCTCATTTAAAAGTTAGAGATGGATTTCAAAACTTTAATAACTCTCAATATAAAAATATATAATGATGAAATTTAGCTCATATTAGTTGAATTAATGTAAATTACTTAGTATTCTTAATTTAAGGATACATCTTTAAGTGTGAAGCATTGGGGATTCCTAAATTATAAAGAAATTGAAATATTTTTATATTATTAATTGGGTAGCGTGGTCATTGCAAGTCGAGCTGTTAACTTCAAAGTCAGCAGTTCAAAACTACCAGCTGTTCCATGGAAGAAAGATGAGGATTTCTGCTCCTGTAAAGATTTACAGCCTCGGGAACCCTGCTGCAGGGTCACTATGAGTTGGAACCGACTCCACGGCACACCACCACCACCATACGTGGAGTGGTTTAGCCTGGACCTCCCCAAAGGATGGTAGATGATTAATTAGTACACAGTGCATGAATACTGCTGCTCTAGTGTGAAAATATGTTCTGTGGATTAATAATAAAATAAGAAAACAAAAGAAAGTAAAAATACATCTTGGAACCAAACAAGATTCCAGGAAATAGAAATCAATTCATTGCTTCAGAGATGGGCCAGAACTTCACTAAGAGGAAAAACTCTGGCTTATGTTTTAGTAGTTTGATGACTTATTAAAGAAGGAATAGTAATGTATCTCAGGGATGGAAACCTTGGAAAATGGGACTTCCAGTTCTTGTCATTGTCCTTCAGTAATGACCTATGGCATTTTCTAATACCAGCCATACACGTCTTATCATTGTGTTTTATTTTGACAGTATTTTACTGTAAATATATTCACTCTAGAAAAATTAGAAAATATGGAAAACATAAGGAATAAAATTTAAATGCCGTTCCCTGGTGGCACAGTGGTTAAGCATTTGACTGCTAACTGAAAGGTTGGTAGCTCAAACCCACAAGTTGCTCCACAGGAGAAAGAGGTGGTAATCTTCTTTAAAGATTACAGGCTTGGAACCCTGTGGGACAATTCTCCTCTGTCCTATAGGGGGCGCTATGAATCTGAACTGACTTCACAGCAAAGGGTGTGTATTTACCTGTCTCAGATAATCACTTGTTAACTTCATAATGAATTTTCTTCCAGTTTGCTCTTTTTATTATTTTTTTAAGTACCGATACTTGATTTGGGAATTTCAGATAAGAGGGTTAGGGAAGTGACACAAGCAAACAAAAGCAGTCACGAAAGGACATGTTATGATGCCAGCTACCACAGTGGGCTACTAGGGCGTATTCCCATGGAGAAACTGGAAAATGGCTGTATCATTCGAAAGCCTCAGGATTTTACTCCCAAGGGACAAAGGAGTTGAAGTTACCCACCATGTTCTCTTGGTCCTCCTGTTGGCTGAGGAATGTCCCCACTACCTCTCCTCATCCCCTGCGATTCTAGCAACAACATTCAGAGTCCGAGAGACAGACTCTGGCAGTCAGAAATTTTCTGAGGCACAGTGAGGCAGTATAACCGACGGGTCATTAGTGGAGTGCCATGAAAGAATCAGGCTTGTTTTGGTGACCGTTGTGTTCTCAGCATCTAACATGGGACTTGGCACATAGTATAAGCTCAGTAAATATGTGCTGACTGTGTGGCATTGTAGGATAAGCATTAGACTTCCAACTGCAAGGTTGGCGGTTCAGACATGCCGGTCACTCTCAGAAACCCGGTACACATTGTAGAAGAATCGATGCATTTGAGTTATGGTGTTGGAGGAGAATATTAAAAGTACCATGGACTGCCAAAAGAACAAACAGATCTGTGTTGAAAAAAGTACAGCCAAAATGCTTCTTAAAAGCTAGGATGGCCAGACTTCATCTCTCATACTTTGGACATAGTATCAGGAGGGACATTCCCTAGAGAAGGATATAAGATGGATTGGCACAGTGGCAGCAGCAGTGGGTTCAAATGTAGCAACAATTGTGAGGTTGGCACAGGGGACTGGGCAATGTTTCATTCTGTTGTACATAGGGTCGCTGTGAGTACTGGTACTGAGTCCATGGCACTTAACGGCAGTGACAAATGGATCAGAATCAACTCAATGGCACAAAACAGGAAATGAACTTTTAAAACTATGTGCGCCTTTCTATGGGCTCACCATGCTCCTGAGAAAAAATCACCCAGAGCCTTCAGTGTGTCAGGCCCTGTACCCGGCCACATAAAAACAGGGCTGTACACAGATGGCGGTGTCAAAAGGGAGGGTCCCAGAGCCTGTGGCTTAGTTACAAAGTGCTGCTTTAACAAAAGTACCACAAATGCGTAACTGTAAAGAACAAAATTTGGTTTTGCTCACAGTTCGGGTAGCTAAAAATAAAATTCAGGCTATGACTATTTGTCAGCTTCTAGTAGCAGAGTGACTTCTTACAATAAGCACTGGACTACATGCTTATCCATGGTTCAAGCCTGCCAGCTACCTCATGGAAGAACGATGAGGTTCAGAATCTCTATACATACAGGCTAGGAGTCAGAATCCACTCTGCAGCAATTAACAACAAAGCTGCTAACAATCCTTACGGTTTCTGGACTTATCTATATCTGTCTTGTATGTCTGTTTTCATATGGTATTTCTGTCATATGTGTCTGTTTCTGTTCTCTTTTTATAACTCAGGTGATTAGATTTTGTACCCACCTACTCTAATGTGACCTAGTTAACAAAATAAATGAAACGCTATTTCCAAACAGGATCACATCTATAGGTACAGAGACCAGGAAGGACTTCAATACAGTCATGCACTGCATAACATACATTTATACATATCTGACTGCACATATGTTGTAGTCCCATGAGGTTATAATAGAGTGCAGAAATCTCCGTTAGAGAGCAGGATGGAGCAAATGCACCAGTTTCCCACTCGCAACACATATATCTTATGTCTCTTGTATACACAACAATTATGCTGCCAGATCTATAAGGGTGTATGTACATGGTGGTGGTGGTGGTGGTTCTGTACCATGGAGTTGGTTCCAACTCATAGTGACCCTGTACAGGGTTTCTAAGGCTGTAAATCTTTACAGGATCAGAAAGCCTGGTCTTTCTTCTGTGGAACCACTGGTAGTTTCAAATTGCTGACTTTGAGGTTAGCAGCCTGACTCATAACCACTACACTACCGGCACTCCTTGTGTAGTACATATGTGACCAATAATTACAATGCTTTGATAGTCATAATAAATGCCTATTACTGACATTTGTATGAACTCTACTGTACTTTCTATCTATGTATACTTCGACTTGTTAGCAACAGCATTCAATCTCCTGTATCATGCCTCTCTTGAATATTATAGTGTTAAGACTCTTGTTTAATTTTCTTTTAAATATTTATATGAACTGCACCATGGCTCCCAAATGCAGCAAAATTGATGCTCGTAATAGAAGCAGCAAGAGACAAAGGAGAAACAGCAATTTGGATGTGAAACAAAAGGTTGTTAAACAACACGAAAGTTGGAAATCTGTGAATGCTAGTGCTTATGATTTAGGCTTATAATGACAATTAGGATGATCATCTAAGACAAAGAAAAAACTCTCCAACTTGCAAAAGTATTAACTCCGCTAAAAGCTACAAAGCTAGTGAAAATTTGAGAGGGACCCATATCAGATGTGGAGAAACTACACATGACTTGGAATGAGTACCAAACACCAAAGCAAATCCCTCTCAGCTTACTGAGTATCACTGCCTTAGCTGTCCAAGATGCTTTAAGTAAAAGCAGGGTCACACTACAATATGTTGTTGTTGTTAAGTGCTATTGAGTCAATTGCGACCCTATGTAGGGTTTCTGAGGAGTGGCTGGTGAGCTTGAACCACTGACCTTGTGGTTCAAACTGACTTAGCAGTCCAGCACATTAACCCTCAGTGCCACACCAGGACTCCAGACTTATGATATGTTGTTGTTGTTGTTAAGTACCGTGGGTCGGTTCCAACTCATAGTGACCCTGCACAGGGTTTCCATGGCTGTAAATCTTTACAGGAGCAGAAAGCCTCATCTTTCTCCCACGAAACAGCTGGTAGTTTTGAACTGTCGACCTTGAGGTTAGCAGCCCAATTCATAACTACTATGTTACCAGAGCTCCTTAGACTATGAAATATATAGTGTTGCATAATGTCCTAGGTATAAAATGCCTTACTTCAGAGAATACATCGGACATTAAATGACTGTACAAGGAGACTTCAAAAAGAGTTGGGGCAAGATGACAGAGTAGCCAGGTGCACTAAGCAGATCCTCTGCAACAAAGACATGGGAGAACAAGTGAAATAGATTCAAATTGTGTTCCTGGAGCACTGAGCTTTAGAACATAGAACAGAGAGGTGGACTGAATTCTGACTGAAAGAGGAAGCTAAACAGGAGCAGTGAGAGAGAAGAAAAACAGGCAGGCTGTCACCTAACATGGCATGGCATGGCCACCTTGAGCATTTGCAAGTGGTTGCCAACACATCGGCCTACAGGCACAGGGCTGGCTGTGAGTGGAGGACAACAGGTGTGTAGTTCTTCCTTGTTCTCTTGCTTTCCTGGTAGCTGGAGCGTGGCCTATACTGCCATTGCCAACACAGTGGCCAGTGGCAACCCCTACATTGCAGCCTCTGCCTGGGGTCCTTCAGGAGGTGCGTGAACCCTCCCGGAACTACACTATCTGAACTGAAATTTGTGTTCAAACTTCATTCTGGTCTCTATCACATCCACCAGGAGCTAGGTGGTGAGTGCATAAGAACACACCAACATACCATAAGTTATCAAATAGAAATTCTATGACACCACAGTTTCTCAAGAAAACAGTTTCAGCTTACACAGCAGAGTGTCTCAAACAATTGACCAAAATATTAAGTCAGAAAACATAAATAGCACTACTAGAAGTAGAACTGCTTGATGTTGTTGTTGTTAAGTGCCATCGAGTCGGTTCCGACCTATAGCGACCCTGTACAGGGTTTCCGAGGGTGTAAATCTTTACGGGAGTAGAAAGCCTCATCTTTCTCCCGCGGAGCGGCTGGTAGTTTCGAACCGCTGACCTTAAGGTTCGCAGCCCAATTCGTAACCACTAAGCTACTAAGGAATTGTAAATATTGTTCTTTGTATCTGGGTACCTACAATGAATTGAGAGAAAGATTGATGATGAAGAATTCAGGAGAATAATGCAAGATCAAACTGACAACGTAAATGAAAAATTGGAAACCATGCAAAAACAGCAGTTAGAGAGCCAGAAGATTAATACTAAGACACCAGAATGATCGACAAAAGCAAGGAAGAATTCAGGAAAATAATACAAGAAGTAACTGACAAAATAACTGGAAAACCATACAGAAACAGAAATTAGAAAGCCAGAAGATTAATATTATGACTTCAGAAATAGATAACACATTGAAAGGGAAAATTAGAATTGAATCAATGGAAGGCCACATCAGTGAGCTTGAAGAAAAATCTCCAATACACATCTTTGAAAGGAATAATCAGAAAAAAAGGATTTAAAAATCCAAAGAAAGTCTTAAATTTGTGTGGAACATTATCAAGAGGAATAACAAGTGTGATTTGAATTCCAGAAGAGGAAAAGACAAAATCAGACAAAACTGTCCAAGAGTTGCTGGAAGAAAACTTTGCTAATACCATGAAAGGTGTGAAGATAGCCTTTCAAGAAGTTAAATGGATTCCAAACAGGATAGATCCCAAAAGAAAATCACCAAGACATATATATAATCAAACTTTTCAGAATCAAAGACAAAGAAAGAGTCCTGAGAACAACTCCGGAAAAGCGAAAAGCTACCTGCACACAATAATAATAAGCTCTGATATCTCAGCAGAAACCATGCCGGCAAGAAGACAGTGGGATGACGTGTATAAAACTGCAAAAAGTAAACTGCCAAGCTAGAATAATATACCCAGCAATAGTGTCCATCAAATATGATGGCAAAATTGGAACATTTTCAGATAAACAGAAAGTAAAAGAATTTTCAAAAAACAAACCGACCTTGCAAAAATTAATGAAGGGAATTATTTGAACAGAGAATCAACAACAGTAGGCAACAGCCTAAAACTAAGATATATTTAAAATAAATCACCTAGAACTCAACCCAGATTTAGAAGTATTGAAAATAAAACAAACCTGTTGTTGTTGTTACATGCTGTAGAGTCAGTTCCAACTCATAGTGCCCCTGTATAGGGTCTCCAAGGAGTGACTGTCGGCCTTGTAGTTCAAACCAATCTTGTGGTCTAGTGCATTATCCCACAGTGCCACACTAGCACTCTGAAACAAACATTGTTGTTGTTGTTATGTGCCGTGGAGTTGGTTCTGACTCATAGTGACCCTGCACAGGATTTCCGAGGCTGTAAATCTGTACAGGAGCAGAAAGCTCATCTTTCTCCCATGGAACAGCTGGTAGTTTCAAACTGCTGTCCCTAAGGTTCGCAGCCCGATTCGTAACCACTATGCTACCAGAAGACTGAAAATAGGGAACCAGATATATCAGTTTGCGACAAAAAAACAAAGTTTAAAAATAGGAATAATATATATAATTCCAGAACTTCCAAATTAAGGAAATGTCAAGTATATTTCAAGAAAAAAATTAAACCTAACTGTAGTCCTAAAACTAAACCAAGCTTTAACTCCTAGTCCTTTTCCACCTCCTACTTCTACCATTAACCCTAATCTTAACCATAACCCTAACACTAAACAAAGTCCTAGGCCTTGCCTAGACTTAGCCATAATCCTAGCCATAACTCCTTACTTCTGCCTACCCACTCCCCCACAAAAAAAGCCATACACAATAAAAGAAAAATGGAACGGAAAGTTAGTGGAATTTTCCCACAAACTTTTTGAAGCCCACAAACTTGTACATATTTTGGGAAGATACAATTCAATCCAGTACAATAAGTAATTTATTTCAAAATTCTAACAATGATTTGCATATATATGTATTATGGAGAGAGTAACTTCCCATGTGTTAAACTATTTTTCAAAAATATGTTTTTTAATGGCTCCAACTCTTTCTTTCAATCCAAAGAAATAATTCCTTGTAAAACTAACTCTCAAATTTACTAATTAGAATGTGGCCCAAGTTTATTATTCTAGATGTAAGAGGGAGCTTCAAAAGTTCATGGGAAAATTCTGTATCTTTAAATACCATTTTCCTCAGATTTTTAATATTTGCTCATATTTAACCATAGGGCCAGTGTTAATTAGGATCTGTGTTTTATGGTTCAAATTGTAGATACTCATTTGAATGCACACCTTGTACAGTCCTCAGATCACAGCTGGTTTCTAAAACCCTAAACATGTGCAAAACTGATTGGATTACACTGATTACATTATTCATTCCTTAATGTGCTTTTTTCCCCCTTTATTGTTTAAATTTCCTTACAACATTTCCAAGATACTACTATGAAGCCTTTATAAATGAATGTTTCCTGACACCCTTTGAAAGAAAGCTGATTATATTCACCACATGTAATATGTTTAACAAAGAAATCATTCCTTAAATACGTTTATTGATGTGTTTGAAAATGCCTGTAGAGTGCATTGATTGAGATGATTTGGGGAATCTAGCCTTTAGTATCTCCTGTGACTTACAGGAAAAACTCAAGTCAAGTCAAAGAAAAAGCATGTGTAAGATCTTTGGGTGAGGTTTACAGGGTCACTATAAGGAGCTCTGGTAGCAGAGTGGTTATGAATCGGGCTGCGAACCGCAAGGTCAGCAGTTCGAAACTACCAGCTGTTCCGCAAGAGGCCACCATGAGTTGAAACTGACTTGACAGCACTTAATAATAACATTAGTGTATTATTTATATATAATATATATACATATATATATATAACAACACCATATATTTATATATATATATATATATATATAGTTGTTGTTATGTGCCGTGGAGTTGGTTCCGACTCATAGCGACTCTGTACAGGGTTTCCGAGGCTATAAATCTTTACGGGAGCAGAAAGCCTCATCTTTCTCCCACTTAACAACTGGTAGTTTCGAATTGCTGACCTTGCGGTTCGCAGCCTGATTCGTAACCACTACACTATAGTATTAGTACAGTTATTAAATTAACATATATGTATTTAGTGTTCTCGTTTTTGACATTCCATTTCCTTTCTATACCAGGAAGTTATCAATGCTCTGAAACAAACGTGGCATGTTTCCTGTTTTGTGTGTGTAGCCTGTGGAAAACCCATTCGTAATAATGTTTTTCACTTGGAGGATGGTGAACCCTACTGTGAGACAGGTAAGACCATGAAGCCATTAGTTTATTAAGTCTTCAAACAGGTAAATGTTAACTCTTATCTAATTTATACATGTTGATATAAAGTTGAAAGTAAATACTAAGTCCAGTGCTTTTCCTAAATGACTTTGGGGCATTTAATGTTACTCTAAATATGTAAAGTTTTTATGTGACTTTGTTGAGATACATATTCTCCCACCTTCATTATAAGATGTGAACTTGTAAACATTACTTTGTTGAAATTTTTTTTTTTCTTGAACCCCCAATAATTTATGAATATCAGGTATACCAGCTTGTGACAGTTACAGCCACCTCTTATTCTTACACTCCTGTGGTAACATTTGAGTAGTTATCAACATGAAAAGTTTCCGATTCTTATATGATATGATTCTGTTGTTTAAGGCAACTGCCTTGAAAATAAATTTTAAATCCTTTTTTTATTGTTAACTGAATGGGTGGGTAGTTCTGGCTTGGATATTCCCTTGGTAAAATTATTTTTAATAATCTAGGCTCTAAGGACCGATCTACATTTGTCTTATTATCTGAACACTTCCTTTTCCTTCTCACAGGGTGTAATCAAACTTTCATAACACTTACTAATGTTTCCCTTACTTACATATTACTGTTGTACATATTTTCACACACACACACACACACACACACATTTCCCTTGCCATGATTCCACTCACTGCCACTATATTCCCATGACTGAGTTTTATTGCTGTTTTTCTTGAAGTTCAAGATGTGGTGTTTGAAGAAGGGAACGCTCTAGGGTTGTCAAATTAAAGGAGCAGTCAGTTTGTAATTTGAGGCTAAATCAGCTTCACTCCACTCTTCTATGCCCATTTTAGTATTCCATTTTTCACCATCCTTTTGGCTCATTAAGACTGTCCACTAGCGTTTCTGAGACCTGCTAGTAAAGTGCCAATGGACCATTTTGAAACTGGTTGGCTGCAGGCTACTTACCCTGGTTCAACCAGAATATGTCATCTTTTGAAGTTCCATTTAATTTTTCTGAAGAAGGAATTGTTTTGTTTGTTTTTAGAAGCTTTGCAAGACTGATTAACTGTCTGATAATCCCTGTCTAGCCAAAACACGTGTAAAACTCTCCAGGTTTAACGACATATTTAATGTATTCCTTAAAGTATTTTTTTAAGACTACAAAGAATTGCTTAAAGGGAAAGTATTAAGTTTTGATCAATTTGGCCTAGTCTTAGTTTTGTTTTGTTTTTCTTTAACCTACCAAACCTATTCTTAACCCCGTCTTCCCCATCATAATGAATGGCCTTGCTAGTCACTTAAAAAAAAAAACCTATTTGTAATCTGGGATTCTGCTTTTTCTTTTGTTCTCCCCATATTCAACCCCATTCATAAACTCTAGCAGTTCCATATATTGAATTTTTTCATTTCTCCCCATTTAAATTACCAACACTAAATCTAACTCATTCTTACCCTTTGCCTGGATGTTGTAATAGCTGACTCAATGATAACTCTCCTTCCTTAACCTCAAATAGCAGTTACACTTGTGAATCAGGTTGTGCTTAAAACCCTTTCAGGGCTTCCACCTACACCTAAAATAAAAAACGATACCGTACTCCGTACTGCTGCTGTTCTGCCAGCCTCATCTCTAACCGTCTCTCTGCTATTCTGCTGTTTTCTGCTTCAGGACTTCTGTGCCTGTTCCTTCTAACTGCAGTATTCTTCTTTGGTGGTTCTTTCTTACTCTTCATTAAAGTCTTATAACAGCTCTGAGAGGGCTTCAACATGTTCATGAAAAAATGGAATTAAAAGACAATGGAAGTTTACCACGAGTATTTTGAAGCCCCTTCGTATTACACTCCTCTATAATAATACAATAATACTCTTATACTCCCCCTTACAAACATCATTGTTATATATAACTTCATTATTTTCTTACCTTCATGGTACTGACCATGACAGGAAATAATTATCAGTTATTTTTAAAAATGCAATGAGTTGTAAAATCCTGTTTCCATTGAGAATATAAGCCCCAAGAGGAAAAATCCACATGTCCTCTTCATTACTTTAAAATGATGCCTAGAGCAATACCTGGAATTTAGTGTAGGGCTCTGTAGATTTGTACTGAGTGAATGGTACTGAGGAACTCAAATATTGAAGATTGATGAGAAACGTGAATCAGGTTGCAAATAATGGCATATTTTCTTCTCCAACGCAGGTTAAATAAAAAATGCCATGAGTCAACGGTAGTGAGAGTATCTGCATAAAAGAAAATAAAATTCTGATAAATTTGAATTTAGTAATAACAGAGAAGAAACATCTTGTTGAAACTGCTTTCTTAAGAAACTCCCATTAAGTGTCTTTTAACTGTAGACTATATAAAGTTCTGTCTAAGGATTTTCACTATGAAATGCAAAAACTGAAAATACAGCAAAAAGAAATTGTGGCTAATAGTGTGATACAGTCCAAATAGAAACTCAGTCATTACATTTATTCATAAGTTTCCTATAATTTTTCTTTCTCTTTTTTTCCCAGTCAGATATATTATGAAGTTTGCCAATATCATATATTAATTCTCAATTTATGGTAACTATTCTTACTGTTTTTAGTCATTGGAAATCTCTTTTTTATTAACAGTCTAGTAATAATTTATCAGAGAACAGTGGTGTTTTTCATATACGAAGCAAAGTAAAAAAAATTTGCTACCAAGATCCCAGTGTATATACCAAATAATTAAGCATCCTTAAGCATATCTCCATCATCTGTGGATAGCTACAGAGAAATTCACTCAGTCATACATTTGTCTTACTCTCATTGAGGTGCCTTCAAAAAAATAGGAATGCAAAAAACAAAAAAGCATTGCACAAAGGTCACCTAGCTCTAAGAGCTATATTTATATCCGTTTTTTTTTAAGCAGGATCAAAACTAATGAAGACCATTTTATGGAACAAATAGTAACTGAGGATGAGTCTTAGATTTACCAATAGGATCAAATAGCAAAGTCCCCTCAAAACAATGACTTCCAAAGTGATCTGTTGGGCTACTTACATTCAAGACACAGAGGTCAGCTCAGAAGGTTATGGTGACTTTTTTGAACTTCCAAAGTGGTGATCTTGGTAGATTTTCTTGAAGGACAGGATGACCACAGGAACTTATTGGGAAGAAATTTTAAGAAAATTGAAAACTGCATTGGTGAGAAAAAAAAGCCAGAAAAACTTCAGTGAGGAATGTTTTCCATCACAGCATAGCACCTGCTCATTCTTCCAGGGTAGTAAAGGCCGTCTTGTGAAACTTTCATTGGGAAACCTTATCCCATCTACCCTACAGCTCTTATCTAGCCCGGTTAGACTTCTTTTTCTTTCCCAAATTCAAAGAACCTTTCAGAGGAACATAATTTGAGTCCGTCAAGCATGTGCAAACTGGTGTAAATCAAAAAATGCAAAATTGTTAAAGAAAACACAACTTTCAGAAGTGTATAGACCTATAGGGAGGAGGATGTGTCAAGAAATAATACCCTCCCATTTTGATATTTTTGTTTAATAAAGGTTTCTGTGATTTTGTAGCAATTTTTTTTACTTATTGTCATGTTTGGATATTTTAGTACTGGGAGAAAAGTAAGAATGTTACATGGAAATTTTTAATTTAAAATGTTAAGTCATGTAAATATCTTGAAACATATTTCTCAAGGTGTAGGATAAGCACTTGACTACAAGGTCAATGGTTCAAACTCACCAGCTGCTCCTCAGAAACCCTGTACAGGGTTGCTATGAGTCAGAACTGAACTGACGTTACTTAGCAACAACATAGCATTGCCATTTACTTAAAATTTTTAATTATTAGCATTTTTGTTTTCATCAATTTTAAACACTAATAGAATGCTTACATATAGAAATAAACATGGCTTTGCAGTATATCAAGATGTTTTACATGTTAATCTCATTTAATCCAGGTTTTGTGGCTGTTTTCTAGAACTGTCATCCTAAAGTATATTTTCATATGAAATTAAACACACAAAAGTAAAGCTATGTTGTTGTTGTTAAGTGCCATTGAGTTGGTTCCCATGGAACAGCTGATAGTTTTGAACTGCTGACCTTGAGCTTAGCAGCCTGATTCGTAACCCCTACGCTCTCAGAGCTCCTTATGTATATGTTTTTGTTGCTGTTGTTAAGTGCCATCAAGTCAGTTCTAAATCATAGTGACTCTGTGTGTATGTAGATTTTGGAGTCCTGGTGTGGTGCTGCAGGATGAGCACTGGACTGCTAACCACAAGCCTGGCAGTTCAAACCAACCAGCAGCTCCTTAGAAACCCTATATAGGGTCACGATGAGTCAGAACCAACTCAATGGTATTTAGTAGCAACAGCAATGAATAGAAATTGTCTTTAAAACAGACTGTTCTTTTGTATTCTTAATGGTAAACTGGAAAAAAAAAATGGTAAACTGATAAAAAGATCTTAAATTACTCAGATATACACCAATTTAGGAGTTCAAAACAAAGAAGACGTATTCCTTATGTTTAAATTATTCATGTTCACGTGTTTGTTAAGTGGATTTGAGTGAATGAATGAACAGATGGGAGTCTTTTTCATGTTTAAGTTATGTTTCTCCTTGCCTCCCCACCCCATACAGATTACTACGCTCTCTTTGGTACCATATGCCATGGATGTGAATTTCCCATTGAAGCTGGAGACATGTTCCTGGAAGCACTGGGCTATACCTGGCATGACACATGCTTTGTATGCTCAGTAAGTGACCTCTATCTTCTAACTGTTGTTTGTTGTTAAATGCCATTTACTCATAGCAACCCTGTATAGGGTTTCCAAGGCTTGTAAATCTCGGCAGGGGCAGAAAGCTTCATTTTTCTCTCATGGAGCAACTGGTTGACTTATTAAAGGAACATTTCTATCATTCAATTCTCCAAACCTCAAAAATATTTTTTATAGTGATTTTGAATTTTTTTTCATTTTTTGGCCAAATACCTTCTGAAATTATTAGCATACAATAAGAAGCTTATGCCTTTAGAGGAAATGCTGTTATCAATGCATTTTTTGTCCGTAAAGAAAGATATATATTCCTTAAAACAGTAATATCCCTTTACTTTTATAAGCTCTTTTAAAATGTTAGGACTGTTTTAAGAAACATTAGGTATTTCTTAAAGTAGAAATAAACAATTATAGAAATCTGTTGTTGATTTAACTCTAAAAGTAAACTGTATGTTGATCCCTTCCTTTCTTGGTGACCAAATACATATTTTACTACCTGTTTATTTAAAGGCTCAAAGAGAAAGGGATATTCATGGTCCTTGGCAATGTTGTTGTGAAGTGCCATCGAGTCAGTTTGGACTCATAACAACCCTGTATAAGGTTTCTGAGGAGCAGCTGGTGAGTTTGAACTGCTGGCCTTGTGTGCGATTCAAACCGACCTTTCAGTCCAGTGCATTATTATGCAGCACCGCACATAGACCATGAATATAATTTTCTCTTTGAGCCTGTAGTAAATAGTAGTAAAATATTTACCTATTCATTTGATGAGGCGCCCTGGTAGTGTAGTGGTTAAGTGTTTAGCTGCTAACCTACAGGTCAGCAGTTCAAACCCACCAGCTGCTCCACGGGAGAACAATATGGCAGTCTGCCTTTATAGAGAATTTGTTGTTGTTAGGTGCCATCGAGTCGGTACCGACTCATAGCGACCCTGTGCACAGCAGAACGAAACACTGCCTGATCCTGGGCCACCCTCACTGTTGTTGCCACACTTGAGCCCATTGATGCTGCTATTTGGTAAATCTATTTCGTTGAGGGTCTTCCTCTTTTTCTCAGATCCTCCACCTTGTTGTTGTTGTCAGGTGGCGTTGAGTTGGCACCGACTCATAGCCACCTTATGCGCAGCAGAACGAAACAATGTCCAATCCTGGGCCAACCTCACTACTGTTGCCACACTTGAGTCCATCCATGCTGCCACCTGGCCAACCCATCTCGTTGGGGGTCTTCCTCTTTTTCTCTGACCTTACACATTACCAAACATGATAGCCTTCTCCAGTGACTGGTCCCTCCTGACAATATGTCCAAAGTATGAGAAACGAAGTTTGGTCATCTTGGCCTCTAAGGATCACTCTGGTTGCACTTCTTCCAAAACAGATCTATTGGTTCTTTTGGCAGCCCATGGCACTTTTAGTATTCTCCTCCAACACCATAACTCAAAGGCATCAATTCTTCTATGGTCTTCCTTATTCACTGTCCAGCTTTCACATGCATATGAGGTTATTGAAAATACCATGGCTTAGTCCTCAAGCTGACATCTTTGCTCTTCAACACTTTAAAAAGGTCTTATGCAGCAGACTTGCCTAATGCAATACGTTGTTTGATTTCTTGACTGCTGCTTCCATGAGTGTTGATAGTTGATCCAAGAAGAATGAAGTCCTTGACCACTTCAATCTTTTCTCCATTGATAAGAATGTTGTTTATTGGTCCAGTGGTGAGGATTTTTGTTTTCTTTACATTGAGATGTAATCCATACCGAAGGCTGTGTTCTTTGATCTTCATCAGTAAATGTTTTAAGTCCTCTTCACTTTCAGTAAGCAAGGTTGTATCATCTGCATATTGCAGGTTGTTAATGAGTCTTCCTCCACACCTGTTGCCACGTTTTTCTTCACATAACCCAGCTTCTCGGATTACTTGTTCAGCATACAGGTTGAATAAGTATGGTGAAAGAATACAACCTTGTCACACACCTTTCTTAATTTTAAAACATTCAGTGTTCCCATGTTCTGTTAGAAAAACTGCCTCTTGGTCCATGTACAGATTCCTCATGAGCACAATTAAGTGTTCCAGAATACTCATACTTCACAATGTTGTCCATAGCTTGTCATGATCCACACAATCAAAAGCCTTTGCATAGTCAATAAAGCATAGGTAAACATCTTTCTGATATTCTGCTTTCAGCCAAGATCCATCGGACATCAGCAATGATATCCCTCATTCCACGGCCTCTTCTGAATCCGGCTTGAACCTTTGGAAGTTCTCTGTCAATGTATGCTTGCAGCCGTTTCTGTATTACCTTTACTCTCATGAGATATCAAAGAGATTGTCTGATGATTTCTGCATTCTGTTTAGTCACCTCTGTTTGGAATTGGCACAAATATGGATCTCTTCCAATCAGTCAGCCAGATAGTTGTCTTCCAAATTTCTTGGCAGAGATGAGTTAGTGCCTCATGTGCTGCTTTACTTTCTTGAAAGATTTCAATTTTTATTCCATCAATTCCTGGTGACTTGTTTGTTGCCAATTCCTTCAATGCACCTTGTACTTCCTCCTGCAGTATCATTGGCTCTTGATCGTATGGCATCTCTTGAAACGGTTGAACATTAACCATTTCCTTTGGTACAGTGACTGTATTCCTTCCATCTTCTCTTGATGCTGCCTTGGAAACCTATGGAGCAGTTTCTGCTCTGTCCTCTAGGGGCACTATGACTCAGAATCAACTTGATGACAATGGGCTTGGGATTTTCAGCTTGTTTTATTTAACCTTTATTAATACTTTTGGCTTTTTTTTTTAATGCTAAAGATAGAGTTCGACATTAAAGTTAAGAGCTCTGGTAACGTAGTGGTTACAAGTTGGGCTGCCAACTTGTCAACTTGTCAGCAGTTCTACCAGTGGTTACACGGGAGAAAGATGAGGCGTTCTGCTCCCATATAGATTTACAGCCTCGGAAGCCCTGTGCAGTGTCACTGTGAGTTGAAACTGACTTCATGGTACTTAACAACAACAACATTCTTTAATTATTTTCATTTAGAAAACACCCAGTAAAGGTGTTTTGTTCAGATGTGTGAATTTTTTCTATTAGATTTAATATAACTGGCAATTCTCAATGTTAATTGAACTCAAATAATTTTTCCAAATATTATTTATCCTTATGTAACCCTGTCTTATTTACCTCATCCATCCTTCCTTGTTGTTGTTAGCTGCTGTTGAGTGCGTTCCACCTCATAGCAACCCTGTGCACAACAGAACAAAACACTGCTCAGTCCTGCACCATCCTCACAGTTATTGTTACACTTGACCCCATTCCTTCCACCACTGTGCCAGTCCATCTCATTAGGGCTCATCCCCTTTTTCACCTACCATCCTTTAGATTTCATAAAACCTATTGGAACAAACAAACAATCACTTTGAGGTGATTTTCTTTCTCCTGTTCTCTGTTAGAGCTGTTTATTAGCATGATAATTAACAAAAGGAGTACGAAAGACAAGAAGACATGACCGTAGATAGTTAACTATGTAATCCCTAGCAGCCAAATGTTGGCCAGTGCTTTCACTAGAAGACGCAAAGAAATCCATTTAAAAATACCAGTTATCCCATGCCTGTGTATTTGTTGTTGTTGTTAAGTGCCGTCGAGTCAGATCTGACCCATAGTGACCCTGTATAGGGTTTCCAGGGAGCAGCTGGTGAGCTTGAACCGCCAACCTTGAAGTTCAGACAGCTTCGGAGTTTGGCACATTAACCCACAGCACCACACCAGGGAATTTGAGGCAGGCTAAAGGTTGGGCTTCAGAAAGTTTGGCAAAACAATTGAGTTGAGTTTTTATTTTGAATGTCTTGGTTTTCTACAACAGGAAGCTAATTTAAAGTACTGATGAGAATTTGAAGGAAAAAAGCATATGTAATGTGACCTCTTTATGTATTAATTTTTTCACTAGCTTAACTGTTTTCCTTCCAATAAAGAAAAATAATTATTTATGATTTAATCAAATTAGAATTATTGTTGGTATTGTTAAATGCCGTCGAGTCGGTTCCGACCCATAGTGACCCTGAACAGGGTTTCTGAGGCTGTAAATCTTTACGGGAGCAGAAAGCCTCATCTTTCTCCCGCGGAGCAGCTGCTAGTTTCAAACTGCTGACCTTGCGGTTCACAGCCCGATTTGTAACCACTATGCTACCAGAGCTCTAATTAGAATAGCTTCCAGGAAAAAAGGCATTCTTTATTACTTCTGGATGATTTCATGACACGTCCTAGTCATGAAATGTGAGGGGCTCTAACACAAGCCAGCTAACGTGCTTTATCGTAATATTCAATGGGGGACAAAGTCATGTTTCCCTTCTTAGGCAGGCCTACTTGATAAAATAATGAAGTTCTCTTAAGCAATGCTTCTTTTTCAGGTGTGTTGTGAAAGTTTGGAAGGTCAGACCTTTTTCTCCAAGAAGGACAAGCCGCTTTGTAAGAAACATGCTCATTCTGTGAATTTTTAAAAGTCAACGGCTCAGGAGAAGAGAAGAATTTGATAAGAAAGAAGAGAATGAAAATTACCAATTAATTTTCAGATGTAATATTTACATGGAGTTTTGAAAAATAATAGTGGCCCTTAAGGGATAAGTTCCAGCTTTAAAAACCAAGTCTATGAGGACATATTTGGCTTCATAAAGTAAAGAGACAGTTTGGCATTTATTATTACTTTTTTCCCCGTATTTTCTGCCCATAAAATAGCTTTTATAAAAACCAATTTCCTGGTTGACTATTAAATTCCTCTTAGAATAAATTAGTGAAGAATTAAATTTTAGAATAAAACTTCAACCTCTATGCAGAAATAATTAGGCTTTCTTTCCCGGTTAGATAGTATTTGAGTAAATCTGTAAAAGGCAATGAAAATGCCTTATACTTGTTCAATAAGAGAATCGTTGTATTAAAAATGAAGCGAATTCATGTTTTATCTTTAAAACACTAAGTAGGAGTTTAAACAGAACTCTATCAATTAGTAAGTGTCAATTTTTTAAAAGTTCTGTGTACTTTTTTCCCCTTGGAGATGATCTTTCCAATCGGAGAGTCCAGTGAGACTTTTAATGATTTTTTTTTTTTTTTCTTAAATCAAAATGCCATGCTTAGAAGCGATGTTTTATTTTTCTTCCATTACCCCTCAAAAGTTACCATTTTGCTGTTGTTAGGTACCATATGGTTTATAAATCTCAAAGTCTTGATTTTTATTTGACTATGAATATTTTTATTCAGTGTGTATAATTCATCACCTATATTATTCAGACTTATTTTTTCCTCTTCCCTTCTGCTGAGGAAAGGAGCCAATTAAATAACTTTGAGCTCTGAAATTTAATTTTCTCTCTCTTTGAAGAGAAAAGGTAGAAAAAAAGTGTGGTTGGATAGTTATAGTAAATCATAGGGTTGTACCATGAAAAGAAAAATGTCCCCCTTTTGGATGGTACAGCAATTCGATCCGTTTAAAAGACCAATGAAGGTTGGAGAGCTCTCTTTGCGGAATAATCTTTTTTATTATTATTATTCTTGAATTCTACATTAGAAGAAAAATACCCAGAAGATTGACTTGAACCTATAATAACATCTAGACTTTCTTTTTTGTTGCTATTATTTTGTAGTTCTCAGTAATAAGTAACTACTTCCAATCACAAAGTTTGGAAAGCTTTTATTCACTGAGGTTTGGTAGTATAGAAAGGGAACATGATTGATTATTCAAATTGGCCTATTATTTGTTTTCCTGATTTGGGGGAATTATTATGTAGATAACACATGAGGACAGAAAAATCATGGCTCTTGTTGATATTTGCCAGGTGAGGAACCAAATTATGGCATTTGATCATTTTTTTCTTTGTTTCTAGAGTGAATAAAAACTCCTGATTCTCACTAAATTATAATTTAAATCTGTTTGTGGTAATGTGCTTTTAAAGTTAAGACAGAACCCAAAGTCCTTCCTGCCCCGTCATTCACTAAGGACTTCAGACTTCACTTCCATTGTGTGCATGTTTGTTATAGAGGGAGGAGGTTTTAGGCGACAATATTTGTTTAACCTCCCTAAGAACTTTCAAGGCATTTGTCCTGAAAGCTGTTAATTTATGGTCTAGCGGCTTTATATCCTACCCAGATAATAATTAACTGGGGACAAAAGAATGGAAAGGGGGACACAGAATGGCAAACTAAATGCCCCACCAATAGCAGCCCAAAACTTACCCTACATCTTGTAGGGAGTCTGGAAGTTTCTATTGAGATAACATGCTAGCACTCACTGTGTGCTAGTTCTCATTGCTACTGAAACCACCCATAGAAGACATGTTGATGTGTACTGACACATATCTTAATGTCAGCCTTCGGCTTCATACAATAGAAACCAAGTTGGTGGTTGTGTTTTTGTGTAGTCTAGATGGTTTTGTTTAATTTTGCCTTAACAGATTTTATACCAAGATAGTATTTGATAAGTCAATGGAACGTGGGTATTTTTTTTTTTCAAAGAATTTTATTTGGTGGGAATTTCTTATAAAGTTATCTTACATTAATGATTTTGTTTTTATTAGACTTTTCTTTCTACATATTATTCATGGAGCGTATTTCTCTAAATTTTATTCCTAAAAGGGTAATGATGCTTCCTAATTTATCATTTTGTCTTAGTGCTTTGCCTCCTCCTCTTTGTGGCAAAGTTTTATATTTGCTCTTACGACAGTTAATCCTCTGAAATAAACATTGAACATATCACAGAAGAATCCGTATTTTACAGCAAGAAATGCCATATTTAATACACCAACGATAATTGTTTAATAACTGGCAGAGCACTTTAATCTTCTGGCGAGCTCCCTGAATATTTATTTTTCTGAATATAAATATTCCATGTCAGTAGCATTTTTATTAGTACTTCTTCACTGTAGAACGTTTGCTTTTTGTCTTTCTTGATGTATATTTTGGATGCTATACATGACATAGCGTAGTACATATTAAAATCATAGTCTATCATTCTAAAAATTCTATTTGGATTTCACAATTTCAGAATTTTAGTGATAAAGATTTATATTTCTCTTGGATTTAACATTGCCCGCTGAAGTGGTTGTTGGTCGTTATGTGCCCCCGATTTGGTTCCGACTCGTAGTGACCCTGTATAGCGTTTCTGAGGCTGTAAGTCTTTATGGTAACAGAAAGCCTCATCTTTCTCCTGAAGTGCTGCTGGGAGATTCAAACTGCTGACCTTGCAGTTAGAAGCCCAATGCATAACCCCACTACACCATTACAGCTCCTTGCCGGCTGAAGTAGCAACCTAAAGTTTCCCTTTGCTTATGTTTTATGGTAACATACATGTTCTGTGAATTCGGGTTACATTTAGAATCTAAGACTAAAACCTAATCATTTGGGATGGTCACAATATTAAACAAGTGGTTGATGGTGGTGATGGTTATGTGCTGTGGAGTTGGAACCGACTGGGTTTCCGAGGCTGTAAATCTTTACGGGAGCAGAAAGCTTCATCTTTCTCCCGCAGAGTAGCTGGTAGTTTCGAACTGCTGACCTTGAGGTTCGCAGCCCGATTCGTAACCACTATGCTACCAGAGCTCCTTGTAGTTGTTGTTAATTGCCATCAAGTGGGTTCCAGCTCATAATGACTTAGTTTAGGGTGTCTTAGGAGCAGCTGGTGGATTTGAACTGCCAAGTTAAATTTTCAAAATATTAATGCAGTGTTTTTTAAAATTAACTATAACAAAAATGTATTCATAGTACTATTTTAAGAGAACTATATTAGGACCACTAAGTATATAGGAAAGAATTCTTCCTTTTCCCTGCTCAAATGTACATTTAGTGTTTTATTAACCTTTTTGTGGCATTTGCAATGTAGTCATTCCTACTTAAGGAAGAAACTTTTCAGACATAGGAGAAAATGTAATGAATTGTTTTATACAAATTTAATCAACTCAATGTATTCCCCTCCCAGTTGCCCCCAAATGTTTAAACGTATTACATTTGGATTCTCAATGTATCAGTTGCCTAATCTGTTAACCTCTAACTTCTGTTTAAATTTCTTTAAATTGGTTTGTATCTGTGCTGTTTTGCTTTTGGATACATTTTCTAATTAAGAATCACAAGAAAAATATAGTCAGTAAAGTAATACTTTAATGTGCACATAATAAATAAATGATTGCAGTGATGTAGACAAGGTCTCCTGGTTTTTCTTTGTGGGTGGTACTTGTGTCCGTTGAATGTCACCATGAGAAAGCCATGTTACATGTTCACAGGCGAGGATGAGATGTAATCGTTTTCAGTAGAATCACTCCTTTATGATATTTGCCTATCAATATGTCCCCAAAATAAAACATTTGAAACTTTTGTCACATTTTTTTCTACTTTTATCCATTTTTTTTTTTTTATGTCCTAGCCATAGAATATACACAATGTTTGGGAACATGGAAGTAACATTTAAAAAAAAAATATTGTTCAGTTTATTTATTGGAATAATCTGCCATATCAAGCATTGCATTATAGCATATATTCAAACAACATCATCTACATTTTGCATTAACCAAGGGCAAGTTACTTCATGCTTAACTGATTTCAGTCTCATTAGCTAGCTATTCCATAACTAGTTAGATTTACCTCTTCCTCATTTGTTTATTGGTTTGAGTAAGATTTTTGTCCAACTGTATAAAGTTTAGAGGAATGTTTCTGTTGCAGGCTGTATATTAGGAATAAAAGACAAACTCAAGTCTCTTTGCTCACAGTATATTAAACTCCAGAAGCCAAAATTTTAAGGGCATCAAGTCTGCATCTGACATTTTAATAGCTGCTGTTTGGTTTCTATCAATCACGTCATTGCACATTAAAATGCACCGACAAAATAAGAGATCTGTCATTCCTTCGTTAAGAAACAGTAATCCAGTACAAGATTTATAGGCTTAGGACTCAACAGTGTGTGTTTACAATAAATCCCCATTCAGGGCTCCAACCAGAACCAGCCTCCCTGTTGCTCAGTGTTTTCTGGTCAAAATGTTCCCAAACAAAGATTATCAAAGGTTTTCTTACAGAATTGCATATAACTTCCTCTTTGCTTAATTTAAGTTGGCGGTTTCCCTTTTTGGTTCCTCTCAGACAAGATCTTGGTTATATCAGAAGCACATAGGTACCGATGTATTATTAGCAGGCCTGGTGTTAATTAGGGAGAATTACCAGAAATAGTTTGCTTTGTGGAAATTTATTACAGAATCACACTTGACTGATGGCAGAATAGGAGCTGAGGAGCGAGAGCAGCTCCCGCTCATAACCACTAATTAATAGGGTGTCAAAATTCCACAGAGAAGGTTCCATCCCAAGTGTGGGACCCTCACAAAGAAAATAGTTCCTTTGCAGTACTTAAAATTTAAAAGAGGAAAAGGGCTAGGACATATGGCTACCTAACAGTAATTTCAGACTGACAAAAGTTTTATGTTGTACATATGAATGCAAGTATTTAACTCAGCAAACACCAAACCCAAACATC